CACTCACACATACAAATAGATAAATGAATAACTACAATAAAAGACTCTTTCAAATGGTATGATTAGGCCAACAAGATGGCTCAGGAAGTAAAGTGTGTGCCACCAAGCCAAGTCTAATGATCTGAATTTGACCCCTGGGGATCCATAGGGCGGGAGGAAAGATCTTACTCCGGTGAGTTGTCCTCTGGCCTCCTCATATGGACCATGCATATACTCGCATAATACCCACATACAGACACAAAATAAATAAACAATTGTAATAAAATTGTAAACCACTAGTGAGGCTGAGGTAGGAAGACTGAGAGGTCCAGGCCATCCAGACACAGTGAGGCTGTCTCAAAAGTAGAAAATTCAAGTGAGTGAAATGGCTCAGTGTTAGGTAAGGACACTTGTCAAATGTGACTACCTGAGTTCTATCCGTAAGATGCACAAGGTGGAGAGAACTAACTCCTGCAAGTTGTCCACATATGTGCTGTAGTGCACAAGCACACACACACAAATATAATAAATTAGTATTGCAGTAGTTTTCTCATAGGCTTGGACATTTAAGCACTTGATTTGGTGAGGTTTAGGAGGTGTCACATTGTTAGAGCAAGTACATCATCACTACAGTAGGTCTTTGAAAGTATACAGCCTTGCTGTGTTTACAGTTTGTTCTGCTCCATGCTTGATTATTAAGGATGTGAGAGTTCTTAGCTCTGTGCTCCACCTGCCTGCCTGCTGACATGCCTTCCTTACATAAAGGAACCAGAAACCCAAATAAACACTTTCTTCCATAAGCTGCTTTCAGTCAGAGTGGTCTGTCATGGCAATACAGAAAAATAATTAACACAATTATAACAATTTTAAAAAGTGGGCTGGAGAGATGGCTCAGAGGTTAAGAGCACTGACTGTTCTTCAGAGGTCCTGAGTTCAATTCCCAGCAACCACATGGTGGCTCACAGCCATCTATAATGAGATCTGGTGCCCTCTTCTGGCATGCAAGCACACATGGAAGGAATGTTGTATACATAATAAATAAATAAATAAATAAATAAATAAATAAATAAATCTTAAAAAAACAATTTAAAAAAGTAATTTTAAAAAGGAAAATAAACAAAATTAAGTTGGCATGGTGACATTTGCCTTCAATCCTAGAACTCAGGAGGCTGAGGAAAAAGGATCTCTGTGAGTTCCAGACCAGCCTGGCCTACATAGTGAGCTCAAGAGACCCTGCCTCAGTCAGACAGACAGAAAGAAAGAAATAAAAAATTTATAATGCCACTTAGAGCCCCCATTTTTATGTATAAATATGCATGAGTGTATAAGTATGTGTGTGTGCATGTTTATACCTGTACCATTATTATTAAATAAAGTAGGAATGCTTTTAAAGATCAAGAGCCATTAAGAAACAAAGAGTGGAAATGAAAGTGGATGTGTGAGCAGGTGGGGGGGGCTGACCCTAGACATCACATTCTCAGTAGTTAGGGTATTCACACAGCCTCATAATACCTGAATTAACCAAGTAAGCCTTTAAAACCTTACAATGGAACATTAAAATTCAATGTGGTATAATCTCTTCCTTACAAAACATGGCCCCAAAGAGTTTTGCCTCAAGTATGTTAAAAAGGGGTATGTATGTGAGAAATGTATTATATTCACTATCTCCTCAACCACATGACCATATTTTAAAAATACAAAAGAGAAAAAAAGAAAAGAAAGAAACTCACAGGCCTATTGTAACACATTGTACCCCTTCTGAATGTGACACTTAGCTCAGGCTCACTACCCTGACAAAAAAGGAAAGCACTTTATGAAGCCAATTTAATTGGGAGGTGACAGAAAACATACAGCCATTTTCTTTAGCCTTATCATTGAATTGGCTTCAGTTTCAATCTCTGGCAAATCCCACTCAACAGAAGAAATTAACCAGGTCAGCAGAACAGGTGCTACGCTGTGTCTGTCAAGGGTCTGGCATCACCACAATTACTTGCACACAATGAAGCAGTAATCTTTACAGATCATCTCTTCCACGCAGCATGGGGGGGGGGAGACTGAAGGGAGGAGACTGGGGGAGTAAAGGGGCAGTGAGTAGGAGATGAATAAGAAGAAACGAGAAAAGGCAAGAAAAGAAAATGAATGTGCAGCTGCCTTGCAGCTCAGCAGATGTCAGGATGTGATGTACGAGGTAGGATAAGCTGTCGTCGCCTGCTGCCAAAGAGTGGTAAGTGATTAAAGCTTGCACAGTTCTAAGCACCATATTTAGAATCTGTGGGGTTTCAAGACTTGCACCCGTGCCTCGCTGTGCCACCAGATGTTGGCAACTGGTCCTGTTCCTACCAAGTGTGCAAGGATGGCAGCAGTTGGTACAGAAGCAAAGCAATCTGGAATGCTTCCGGAGACGCTGTACATTAACAAGTGTCACCCATCATTCACCTTTACAGAAGGCTGAAACAACTCCAATTTGCTGCCACTTCCCTCTTGGGAAACAGCCAAGATAAAGTTGTGCCTGGCAGCCCCATTTGTTTCACTCAGGTGTTTCAGCTGCCTTACTGACCTCTATTAGTTTAAGTTTTAATTTAGATTAACCTCAGCACCCCAATTAACCAGAAAGGGGAAAAGCTAAGATGTGACTAGTCATAACTCTGAAATCAGAATTTATTGAAGTTAAAATTATTAATTAGGATGAAGAACCAATCAAGTAATGCTATTCCTTAAACATATTTTCAGAATTTAAATAAATAAATAAAAATAAGGGAAAACAAAGAAATAAGGGGGAAATAATCTTCAAGACCCCCCTGATCTTGCCAGTGGAACTGATTTCTTCCCAGCAATTTCAGTTTACCTTCTTTAGACTATTTAACTCACAATGCACTTTTATTCCAGCAATGTACTCTTCAATTAATGAGGACTAGAACATTTTTTGATTCTCTCCCCTGATCTCACACAATTAGCTAGCATTAATATTCTATATCAAGCACATCTTTAGACTCTCCAGAATGTTTCCTGTCCTTCTGACAAATGTGTTTAAGAACAGGAGAAAAAGAAAAGAATCAAGACCCCTGACTGGGGCAGTTGAAGCCAATACTCTCTCCTCAATATACTTTTCACACTCACGGCAATAATTTTAATCAAATATTAAAAATGATGGGGTTGAGCTGGGTGGTGGTGGTGCATGCCTTTAATTCTAGTACTCAAGAGGCAGAGGCAGGTGGATCTTTGTGAGTTTGAGGTCAGCCTGGCCTACAGAGCAAGTTCCAGGAAAACCAAGACTGTTACAAAGAGAAACCCTGTCTTGTGGGGAGGGAGGGTGAATGGGGCTAGAGAGAGGGCTCAGGAAGGCAGGAGTACTTGTTGCTTTTGTAGCAAACTGGGGTTTGATTCCTAACACCCACATCAGACAGTTCAAAACCACCTGTAACTCTAGCTCCATGGGACTGAGGTCCAACACCCTTTTCTGGACACAGGTACTACATGGTTACACTATGAATGTGCACAAATATACAGATAACAATTTAAATAAATAAGATTAAAATAAGTCTCTCTTTACATGGCAAGTGAGAAGCATTCCCAATACAGATCACCTGTTCTTGTTTTACTTATAATTTTCCTAAGAGGTTTCTTACTTCATATTCATATGTGCAGTAAATCTATCATGAATAAAGCTTTAACAAATTGTTGCAAATTCTCTGAGAAAAACTAAACATTTAACAGAGTAAAGTCTTATCTTGATAAGCAATGGCTCAACAAAAACCAGACATCACTGGTAAGGAGCATCCTCAACTTTCCACTGGGCAAGGAAGCATATTTCATTAATAATATGGCTTATCAAGAGATTCAGGAATATAGAAAGTTACTGTAGTCCTTTAGAGTATCTCAAACATTTAGTTCATCTAAACAAGCACCAGTATTACTAAAAAGAGTATCAGGAAAGCACATAATGTCAGAAAAATTGGGGAAACTCTCCTGAAGAGACAAGCACTAGGTTGAGAGAATATGTGGCATACTCCTGTATCTCATGGGAGGTAGAAGCAGATGAACTGCAAGTTCTAGGCTAACACAGTGAGAAGCTGTCTCAAAAAAACCAAAACAAATAAACAATTACAACAAGAAGAAAATAAAAACTTGAGAACTGGACCATATGTCAATTTTTACTGATTATATCTTTTAAAATATTAGACAAATGGAAAAAGTAACAGTAGATTACATTTTAATATATACTAACCTTATTTAAATACACACAAAAATTACAATAAAAGGGCTGATTGAAGTGGCTCAATGACTAACAGTATTTACTGCTCTTGGAAAGGACCTGGGGATAAATTCCCGGCACCCACATGGACCGTCTATGTGGGTTCCAAGTTCAGTTCCAAGAGATCTGATACTCTCTCTTCCAGCCTCCTTCGGCACTAAGCACATTCATAGTAAACAGACATACAAACAGGAAAATAAAAATAATTTTTTAACACAACGAAAGACTGAATTAGGTCATAGAATCAGAAATGTAACTCAAGAAGCCTAGGATCCCAGTGATTGCCTAGCTAGCATGTGCAAGCCTGAGCTTCTCTAGCTCTTGATGGCTAGTACCTAGAGTGGGAGAAGAAAGGTTTGGCTCAACGGCCAGTGTGGCAGTACACACGTAATCGCAGCACTCAGGAGACTGAAGCAGTACTACCAGTTTGAGGCTGCCTTGGCCTGGTACACAGTGAGACTCTGTCTCAAAAACAAAAATAAACAAAAAGCACCCAGCGGAAGACAGAATAAATAAATGACTCAAAGAAACTTATATTGTTTTACAGATAACTTAGACCAGAGCAGTGCTCACAAAATAACTGCAGAAAAACGCAAAACCAAAGAATACAAACCAGAATGACACCATTTAAGACAATCCCAAATATAGGAGTTCTAACTCCTTGTTTATTCAAAATGAATCACCTTTCATTCAGAGAATGCTACCAGTGGACTTAAAATGCAAAAATCTGGCTCATTTTTAACAAAAGAAGAATATACAAAATTCATACCTGGTGGTAAAAGTCATCATCATCAAATATTTCTTCATCTAAGTCCTTCAGGTGAGCATTGGCAGGGACTTGAGGAAGGATCTCCTACATCAGCAGGGAGTAAATGGGTGTGAATATCAGTAAGTATGTCATGTTATTGTACTATTGTCTAAAGGGAAAAAGCACATTTTCCTTAAGATATAAGAACTCTGTCTGTCTGTCTGTCTGCCTGCCTGCCTGCCTGCCTGTCTGTCTATCATCTATGGCTTTTCAAGGAAGTTTCTCAGTGTAGCCCTGTCTATCCTGGAACTCCTTCTGTTGACCAGGCTGATCTTGAATGCAGAGAATGCTGTAATTAGAGGTATGGGCCACCAAGCCCAGCTAAAAACTCAAATAAATAAATAAATAAATGTTGTTTTATATTTAAAAAATCAAGAAAAACCTGAACATTATGGGAAAACCAGGTCTCAAAAAAAAGGGTGGAAAAGGAGGAGAAAAGATTAACAGAATAAAAGTTGACAGAATAAAGAAGCATAAAAGTAATCATAGCAATGTTTAAGCTCGTTCTAACAAAATCCACACAAATTCAAATAAGAAAATATTATTTTTCACCTTTCAGACTGGCAACATCCAAGTCTTGGAAAACAGATAGAGGGACTGGAATTAATAGGACTCTTTTGGGAGGCAATTTGGTAACATCTATCACGATTTATTGTATTTTCTTTAACATTTTTACTTCTAAAACTTCATCCATATGCTGGGCAGTGGTGATGCATGCCTTTAATCCCAGCACTTGGGAGGCAGAAACAGGAGGGTCTCTGTTCAAGACTACCCTGGTCTACAGAGCAAGTTCCAGGACAAGCTCCAAAGTGACATAGAGAAACCCTGTCTCAAACAACAAACAAAAACAAAAATCATCTAAACATTTACACAAACAGAAATATTTAGAAATGTTTGCTTCTAAAACTGGAAACAACAGAAACATCAAGTTTGACTAAGTTATAGCTTACAGTCATACAATAAAATTCCTTTTTTTTCCAAGACAGAGTTTCTCTGTGTACCCCTACTGTCCTCAAACAACTTCTATAGACTAGACTAAAGGCATAAGACACTACCTCCCAGCATAACAAACAATGGAATTCTTTACAGAAAGAAAAACATAAGGTAGATTTTCATGCTATGATAAACTATCTAGAATATATTTTTAAATTATAATGTTTAAATATAGTGACATTTCAGATTAATTTTTTAAATGTGCATATACCATTTGACTTAATTTTACAAAAGGACCCCTGAAGTGCTGCGATAGGTAGTTAATGGCTGTTCAGGGGACAAGAGCCATATTTTTCAGTGCTAAGCTGCCCTTACTCAAGTAAATAATCCTTCACCCAATGGTGTAGGCACGCCTAATTAAAAGGAGTGGGCCACAAACAAACAGAAAATGAAAGTAGGAGGAGAGTGTCTAGAAAAAGGAAGAGTATAGTGGGAAGGGGTAAGAGAGGATAATGGGGGAGAAGATACTTAAAGTATACAACATCTGTGGGTGTGTGTGTAATGAAACTATGGGGAAAAAACAACTTTTTTTGATAATTTTTAAGGGGTGCTAGAGAGATGGCTTGGTGGCTAAGTGCATGCATGCACTGTTCTTCCAGAGGATGAAAGTTCAATTCCCAGCACCCACATCAACGGGCTCACAAACACTTATAAGTCCAGTTCCAGAGGATCCAGTACCTCTCTGACCTGCACTCATATGAACATACCCACATAAACACACATACATATTCTAAAAATGAAATATTTAAAAAGAAAAAGAATCACATTTATATATATTACATATGCCATATACATAAAGTTTATAGAAACAATATGATTGGAATTTTCAGAAAAGGAAAAAATTTACATTTCATATGAAATTAAAAAGTTTGAGTATTTTTTTTTCGGTAAAATGTGTAACATGGAAGGGGAAAATTTCAGAGAATCTTATCTACACTCAAAAGACTACAAGGAGAGGGAAAATTAGCCTCTCTAGTGATGAGATCCCTTACTGGTTATCCAATATGAATGAAGAGGACATCCCTGAAAACATACAACCATACATACACAAACAACAAAAAAGACTCAGCAGGTATTTTATATCTTTGCGTATACATATACATATGTATGAGTGTGTATGTATATATGTATGTATGTAAATATATATGTAAAAATAATAACCAAAAAAAAAGGAGGCTGCCAATTTGAGAGTAGGAGGGGTATGGAAGGGATTGGAAGGAGGAAAAAGGGGGAAAGTAATGTAATTCTACTATTTTTTTATCTTATTTTATTTATTTTTATTTCATGTGTGTTCATGTTTTACCTGTATGCAAATATGTGTGACATTGTCAGATCACCTGAAACTGGAGTTACAGGCAGCTATGAGCTGCCATGTGGACGCTGGAAATTGAACTGGGTCCTCTAGAAGAATAGTCAGTGCTCTTACCTGCTGAGCCAGCTCTCCAGCCTCCTAACAGTTTTACAAAAGAGATCTATAAACATATAAACATAAAAAACATAAACTATAAAATTAAAATGTGGTGACCTTAAGAGATAGCTCAGTGGTTGAGAGCACTTGTTATTCTTACAGAGGACCCAGGTTCAGTTCCCAGCACCCATATGATGGCTAACAGCTATACATTAACTACAGTTCCAGAGGATCCAATATTTTCTTATTGCCTTCACAGACGCTGGATGCTCAGTGTGTGCACAGACATACATGGAGGTAAAACACTCATACACAAACGAACAAAAACAAACCAGGGGTTGTGTTACGTGTCTTTAATTCCAGCACTTAGGAAATAGAAGCAGGCAGATTTCTTTGAGTTCAAGGCCAGCCTGGTCTACAGAGTGAGTTCCAAGGGAGTCAAAACTATGTAGAGAGATTCTGTCTCAAAATATCCCCCTCAGCTGAGCGATGGTGGCATGCACCCTTAATCCCAGCACTAGGGAGGCAGAGGAAAGAGTATCTCTGTAAATTTGAGGCCATCCTGATCTACAGAGCGAGTTCCAGGACAGCCAGAGCTGGCACACAGAGAAACCCTGCCTCAAAAACTAAACAAACAAAACATAACAAAAAATTCCCTCAAATAAATAATGTTTCCTTTTGAACAAAGGAATTTTAATATTCCACTTTCAGATTATGCTCTAGAGTACCAAAGGCAAACATTAAACAAATGTCCATGTTGCCATTTCTACACAATAACTTTGAAACTAAATCTTAAGGTCTAAGATATAGGACAGTAGTAGAGGATTTGCACAGCATGTGAACCCCTGGGTTTGATCACCAGATCACAGAAACAACGACAACCAACCAAATCCCCTAAATCTTAAAAACTGGATTTTAAACAATTATCCTGTCAAACTCCTATATCAAATGCAAAATCAAGAGATTTGTAAGGCCTCATGCTAACAATCCAGCAGAACAGTGATGTTTCTTTTCTCACTAACTTCTCATAAGAGTTGATTCCACATTTAACTAGCTACCAGAGACTGTTCCCATAAGCACATGTGTCCCAGAGTTCTTACCGGTTCTCCTGGCAAACTCTCTGTTACAGGCGCAGGGGCTGGTTCAGGTTTGCCAAGAACTTGGTAGACAGAGCGCTTGGTTTGTGTCCTTCGAAGCAATCTTTCTTTGTCCATCAGAATGTGATCAATCTGAGTCAATATCGAACGTTCAAAGGCACCAAAACCCTGCAATAAAATTAACCAGTGTCAGGTAATGCAGGTCGGTACTAGAGGCAGCGATGCTGGATTCTTTTTCTGTGTCCAGAGGGTTTTCTGTTAAAGGCTCAGTATGTCGGTAGTTATATCTATTCTCAGAAAAATTTTCAAACAGTCATCATTGGGGGCTGGAGAGATGGCTCAGCGGTTAAGAGCATTGCCTGCCCTTCCAAAGGTCCTGAGTCCCAGCAACCACATGGTGGCTCATAACCATCTGTAATGAGGTCTGGTGCCCTCTTCTGGCCTGCAGGCATACACACAGACAGAATATTGTATACATAATAAGTAAATAAATAAATATTTTTTTAAAAAAAGTAATCATTTTCTTCTGCTCCTTCAATAACGTTTTCAAATCTGCTTATTTAAAGTATTTCATATTTCCAGCACCTGAATCAGGCTTCCTTTCCAGGATAAAACATTCTAATAAAGCTAAAATCAAATGGTACTAGAAGCAGTTCAATGAATCTGAGAATAGAAAAAATTGCTTACTATTACACCATATAAACTACATTTCTTATTTCTCACAAATGCTTCAGTTGCTTCACACACACACACACACACACACACACACAGAGTGGTGGTTTAAATAGGTATGGCCCCCATAAAATCATGTGTTTGATACTTGGCTCATAAAGAGTGGCACCATTGGGAGGTGTGGCCTTGTTAGAGTGGATGTAGCCTTGTTGGAGGAAGTGTGTCACTGTAGGGGTGGGCTTTGAGGTCTCATATGCTCAAACTATGCCCACTGTGGGAGACAGTTGCTTCTGGTACCTGCAGATCAAGATGTAGAACTCTCAGCTCTTCTCCAGTTCCATTGTCTGCCTGCACACTACCATGCTTCTCACAATGATGATAATGGACTAAGCCTCTGAACTGAAGTCAGCCCTAATTAAATGTTTTCCTTTGTAAGAGTTGCTGTGGTCATGGTGTCTCTTCACAGCAATAGAAACCCTAAGACACACACATACCTTGCCCAGTTTTCCAGAAGCAAGCTTGGTTTTATCATGCCACTTCTGCAGTGTACGGTTCCTGTAGACTGTAAAGTCAGCAAAGCGCTTTGCCATGAAGCTGGGATAGTTCTCCATTTCTAGTTTCCTCTTTGGTGGGCCCTTTCTTTGCTTCTTCTTCTTCTCTTCCACTAACTCATCATCTTCACTAGAAATTTCCTCACTAAAAAACCAGTAAGAACATTAAGTCCAACGTAAACATTACTTAAGTAACAGATTAGGTTCATGTCAAGTATTTAGACCCTACCCATTATAACTATACTATATCAGCAAGATGAGAAAGATTTTTTTTTTTGTATGTTTGAGAAGAATGTTCCTGGTGCTAGAGAAATGGCTCATTGGTTAAGAGCACTGGTTGCCCTTACAGAGAAACTGAGTTTGATCCACAGCACCACATGATGGCTTACAACTGTCTAATTCCAGTTCCAGGGGGATCTGACACCCTCTTATGGCCCCCAAAGGCACTGCTTATACATGATGCACAAACATACATGCAGGAAAAACACCTATACACATAAAATAAAAATAAAGATTAAATTTTTTTTAAAGTTTGTAAGGACAATCAAAGACTCACAGAAATTTTCAAATAAAATCGAAAGCACTTGGGTTTCAATTTTTTAATGTAAGCACATCATAAAAAGAAATGAGGTTGTAAAAACATTACTTGAAATGTATATGAAGCAGGCACATACAGGAGAAACATTAAAACTTTAAAAATTAAACACATACATTTCTGTGACCTTAAATTCCCAAATCAATAAGAGAAACATATTTCCATAAGCAACTGCTAAGAAGAGGTGAATAATAATTGACCTGAATGTGAAAAAAAAATTAGCACTAACTTGAAATACAGATAAAAAACAGCATAGGAAGTTCACATTCCAAGCATGGGCAGGGTTTCACTCTTGTCATTACTTCTTAAGCAACTATCTACCTAGTATTTACGCTTTGTAATTGATATTAAAAGCAATTCAGGGATGATAAAGTTCACAGAAGGAGGTACACAGAACTCAACATCTGTGGATATGGGTATCCATGAAAGGTTTCCGAACCATTCCCCCTTGGATACAGAAGGACAACTGCACATGTGATGAAAACCACTATGAAAATATACTTTAGCCTCCATCTACTTAACCAGCTGCACTCACTGTACTACTGGTTCCAACACATAGACAGTGCTCAAGGACATGGTTATAGGCACAACCATGGCATAGGCACAAAATATTTCAGAACATTAATTAAGCATTAATATTCAGAATATAATTTTAATCTACTAATTATTATAGAAAAGAGAAGGCAAGTGTTTTGACTAAGGCTACAAAGATAAGCAGGTACAACAAAGTTAGAACAAGCAGTCTAATCTCTATCTTCCTGTTTTTACCACCAGTTAAATACAAAAGTGGCTCTACTTCAATTATTATCAAACTTCCTATCTACTTGTATGGGAAGAACATGGCTTTCTTTTTCATAGAGGATAGGAATCTGTCCAAACAAAAAGACAAATAAGTAAGCCTATGGTTCTGCTTCCTCCTTACCTCTCCGTCTGGGGTTTCATCCCATTTACTAGATATCTAGTATCTGGGTACTGGAAAAGTAATTCTTCCTGAAGATCCACCAATGACCTTAATAATGCTTTAAGTGCTTTGTGACCTGGGACAGAAATAAACCACAGAGAGGGGATAATTAGTCATTTACAACTCTCTACAATGGCAGATGACTGTCATTCACTGTCTCCGGAGTAGTTCTGGCTGGGAAGAATGCAGAGACAGAGGCAGGAGACAGTCAGTACTCTCCATGGAAATCATTGCAGTGCCTGTCTCACATGGTAGTAAGGAACAAGCAAGACAGCATGTGGGGGTTGCTTAGAAATGTGTCTGCAGATAGAAAGATTTCAGTGGCCAGGTCTTTTTTAAAATTTATTTATTTTAAATTTATTTTATGTGTACTGGTGTGAAGGTGTCAGATTCCCTGGACTGAAGTTGTGGGTGCTGAAAATTGAACACAAATCCTCTTAACCACTGAGCCATTTCTCCAGCCCCGTCCATTTACAAAACAATTCCTAAATCTAAGGCTCAGGGAACAAACATGGGAGAGCGGAAAGATTGTAAGAGTCAGAATAACAGTTTGCTGTGAGATTATGTCACCTAGTAATGTCAGAAACTATACCCATAAAGTCTCACCAATATGACTACCTGAACATGAAATGAACATGAGATGAACAAGTTCAATGATAGACATGTCAAAGAGGGCCAGGGTAAGCCTATGAAGCCTCATCCCTATACAAAGAAGGAACTACCGGCAAATAAGGAATGCTGAGAGCAGAAGAAAGTCTTTTCCAGGGAACAGTATACCAACTGGTTATTAATTATCAAATGGTCAACCCTGAAAACATACATACATACACACACATGCATACATATATACACACAAGTAACACTATATGGACTAAGAAACTAATATTTAATTATATACACACATATACATGTAACAACAATTAAAGAAAAAAGAGGGCACGGATTTGAAAGTGAGCAAGAAACCTCGTCTACAAGACAGGCTCCAAAGCTACAGAGAAACCCTGTCTCAAAAAAACAAAAACAAAACAAAACAGCCAAAAAACCAAAAAACAAACAAACAAACAAACAAACAAAAAGCGAGCAAGGAGAGGTAGGTATATGAGAAGATTTGGAGGGGAAAAAAAGGAAGGGAGAAACGATGTAATTACATTGTCAGCTGGTAGTTGTAGGTTCTTAAAGAAAAAAAAATTTCTTGGGCCAACTCAGCACTGAGAAAATAAAAATAAACAAGCCAGGTGTGGTAGTGCCTGCCTGTACTCGCAGTACTTCTGAGGCTGAAGCAGGAGGATGACAGTTTAAGAACAGTCTGGGCTACACAGCAAAGCCCAGTCTCATGAAGACAGATGGACAGATCACTAGATTAAATCTTGAAAATATTAGGTTAGACAGAATTCACCAAATGTACAAAAGAAACGTAACTCTACTAACATGAGGGAACTAAAATACTACAATTCATAGAAAAGAGAGGAAATGGAGAATTAATGCTTAATAGTGCAATCTGGGGTAAGAACATGTTCTGGAGACAGTGGTAGGTAATGATTTGTACAACGATGTAAATGTACCTAATGACACTGAATTGTACACCTAAAATGGTTCAATAAAGGTAGATTTATGTCAAAAATAGTTCACCACAATAAAAACACCAACAAAAAACATTGATATAATTCAGTTTGAGAGCAGTTACCTAGCATAAAAAAGGTCTTGGGTTCAAACCAGCACTACTATCCAAAACAACCAACCAACGAACAAAACAAAAACTGAAAAAACAATCATTTAAAGCCGAAGATCACAGTATTATGGACTTTAAAAGGAAGAGAAGTGTGTGTTTTAACACACATGACACTTGATGATCCCTAAGTAAATCAGCCAATCAGAAATAAAAAGTATGATCCACTTAAATTAAAATCAGGGATAAACCAGGCAGCGGTGGTGCACACCTTTAATTCCAGCACTCGGGAGGCAGAGGCAAGTGGATCTCTGTGTTTGAGGTCAGCCTGAACTACTACAGATTGAGTTCCAGGACAGTTGGGTACCAAGAGACACCTAGTCTCAAAAACCAAAAAGAAAAGAAAAGAAAAGACCCAGCAGTCAAGAGGAAGAGAAAGGTGGATCTCTGTGAATTTGAGGTCTGGTCTACAAGGTGAGTTCCAAGGTATCCAGTGCTATACAGAAAGATCCTGTCTCACCCCCTCCCCAAATAAAATCAGTGATGGAGAAGAGAATGGCTATTGCAGGAGTTTCAGGAGAAGAAAGAAATGAAGACACAGATAAAACAGTTCTAGATACTGGTTGTACAAAGGCATGGTTTATTTATTCACAGTTTTGCATTAAGACAGTACAGTACTATGTAACCCAGACTGGCCCCAAACTTGTGATCCTCCCACATCTGCCGCCAAAATGCTAGGATTATTAGCATGGGCCACCACAATCAAAATTCTAGTGAACTATATCAAATGCTAGTAAACTATACATTAAAATTGTTTTTTTTTAAAAAAAAATAAGAGAGAGAGTGTGTGTGTAATGTAGCTCCGTTGGTAGCATGCTTGCCTACCATACATGAGGCCCTATGTTTGATAACCAGTACCACATAGACTAGGCATGGTGGGCACGTCTGTAGTCCCACACTTAGGAGGTAGCAGCAGGAGGATCAGAAGGTCAAGGCCATTCTCAGTTGTATAAGGGACTTAAGACCAGCCAGGGATAGAAACCTTGTCTCTAGGGGAAAATGGTAAATTTGCTGCTATGCTGCATGTTCTTTAACATAATGGAAGGTGAAAAAGAAGAATGAAGCACCACTTCTCCACTAAAACACCAGTGATGGAAGAAACTATAGGGGCTAGAGAAACGGCCCACCAGTTAAGAGCACTTGTTACCTTTGTAGAGTTCAGTTCCCAACACACACATGGTGGCTCACAACAATCAGTAATTCCAGTTCCACGAGATCCAATGCCTTTTCCTGATCTCAACAGATACCAGGCACATAAGTGGTGCACATGCATTCATGCAGGCAAAACACTCATACACATATTTTTAAAAAAAGTTAATATAAAAGTACTTTTAAAAGAAAGAAGCTACAAAACAGTGTGTGCCATAGCTGCTTGCCAATTGGCAAATAACATGTTCAACTCCAACATAACCAAGAACCATGAAGGGATCAGATGAAAGCCAACTTTTTTCTTTTCTTTTTATGGTTTTTTTTTTTTTTTAACAGTTTCTCTGTTTAGCCCTGGCTGTCCTAGAACTGTCTGCAGACCAGGCTGGACCCACCTCCTTTTGCCTCCCAAATACTGGGATTAAAGGGGTGCACTGATACTGCTCAGTGAAAGACTACAACCTCTTTTTTTTGTTTGTTTGTTTTTTTGAGATAAAGTTTCTCTGTAACTCTGGAGCCTGTAATTCACTCTGTAGACTAGGCTGGCCCTGAACTCACCAAGATCCACCTGCCTATGCTGGGATTAAAGGCATGCACCACAACCGCCAGGGTTAAGACAGCAACTTTTAATGTCTACTCTCAAGCACTCTTTTTTTTAATTATTTTTATGTGCATTGGTGTTTTGCCTGCATGTATGTCTGTGTGAGGGTTTTGGATTCTAGAGTTACAGACAGTTGGGAGCTACCATGTGGGTGCTTGGAATTGAACCTGGGTCTTCAGGAAGAGCAGTCAGCGCTCTTAACCGCTAAGCCATCTCTCCAGCCCTCTCAAGCACTTTTTATTTTGTTTCAGTTGGTATTTTTTTTTTAATCCACTGTAGATCCATTCAATAGCTTTATCAATCTAACAAGACAACAGAGAGTCGGCATCAGTAAATCCAAGAGCCTTCTGATAACACTCTCACATGCTCTCGTTTCTTACACCCACCAGAAAGTAGCTCTTAAGTATAAGCTTCATTCAAAGTGTCAAGAGACTGGCCAGAAATGAACTCTATAATTACGTTTTTAAGCCCCCCTACCGCCCTCACACACAGTTAATCAAAGCAATTATCACAGTGGCCACTACATGGATAACTTCCCATAAACAGATTTAGAAGACAGAACTCAGTTTTCATTTCTTTACCAATATGAAGGCCACACTTCTGTCTGGCATGCAAAAGCTCATCCAGTAAAGTGTTTACCACTAAGCCTAACGACCTAAATTTTGATCCCTGGGATCCACATGGTTGAAGGAGAGAACTGACTCCTATAAGACGTCCTCTGACCTCCACACACATGACATACTCCCCCCCTCCAGTAATAAATAAATAAAGAGATGGTGTGTAAAACATATAGACATAGTGGAGCAATCCTTTGCTGAAGGTGAGAGGCTTCCTCAAAGCCACAGATGACAAGAGTAAAGAATCTGGAAACTCAAATCCAACAGTGAATTCTTTAAATTCTTCCCAAGCAAAGCAAATAAATACCCTCTTTATTATTCATATAGGACTGTATTCTATTTGTTCAAAACTATGAATAATAGATAGACTGAAATCAACAGTTTCTAATTCATCTCTAATTTTTCTGCCAATGATTACAGAGTTAAAAAGTTAAGAGAATCAGTGAAGACTCAATGCTCAAACCCTCTTGGCATAAGGCCACAAATCAAATGGAGACTGTCATGGATATTTGTGTTTAGTTTGCCCCATATGGTCCATTTCCAGAAGCTTTTCTTTTAAGAGGAGATTAAGAAAGACACTGCTTTCCAACACTAGCAAAACTCAATATAAGCATGTGACTACCAGTGCTGGCTAGGAATAATTCTGTGTAGAGAACAAGGGAAAGAACACTTCACTGAGAGTTCAGAGCCTAAACTCTGTTACTAATTAATCATGCTCTGCTGAGTGAACCAATTTAATCTCTTTGAGCATCAATTTTCTTACCTATAAAATGTAGTCAATTCTTTCCTTGTTGATCTTATTTTTAAAAATGAGGTAAAAACAAAAGCTGTATTACTGTCTGGCATATTTTAGATATTTCTCTAAAAGTTTTAGAAACAGAAGGTCTGCTACTATGAAACCATTGTCTCCCCCATGCTCAAAATCTTTTCAGAGTTGCATGTGTTGAGCTGCAGCACTAAGATTGGACTGGACTGGACTGGTATTC